GTTCTGTCTGTATGATCATGGTTGTTGTCATCCTGGTACATTAAAGGAATCTCTCAAATTGATGTTAAAAAGCCTTGAAGTCACTCATAGCCTCCTGCTCTGGTTCTAAAATTATACAATCCTGTATTTAAGATCAGGTTATGGATTGCATATGCACAATTTTTTGGGAGGGCAAGTTAAACATATGTAGAATTAATCTCTGATTAATTTGCAATTTGCTCATATATCCACCTGGAAGCTCTAAAATCTTTCCTATTTTAACAAAAATCAGAACTTCCTAAATCTAAGAATACTTTATCCGATGTTCTAATTAGCTAAGACTGTTGACGAACTTCTAAACTGGAACCTCTAAGCTGTACAAAGCAATTTCCTATTTGATCAAAATTCCTATTCTAAACATTCCTCCTTTTTCCCAATTAAACCTAAACGAAAAAAGCTTATGGAGATCAGCCTAAACTTCCTCTCTTAAGGGTGAGGCCCACACTGCAATTCTTTTCCTTCTTCCGCTTTCTTCTTTTCCTTTGTCAATCATTGGGTCATAAACACAAAATCATCTATATGGAAAAATATAATCATCTCAATGGAAAATGATAATAAAAAACGAGATGTGATAAACTCTAAAAATGCAGAGGTAACCTTCTAACAAAAAACAAATGAGATCAGATAACTGACCACTACTTTTTCACCAACACCTCTCTTCTTTAATTCTTTATTACCAACACTGGATGAAGTTGAAACTTTACTTGGTTCTGATAAATGCCAAAAGAAACGGTTAAGAGCGGAGTTCTTTTTCTGCATATCCACTGCATCTTCAGCAGATATAACCATCTCTCCATGTGATTTGGTAAGACGGAACAATCTTGCCTCATAATCCTGGGAAAAAAGTTAAAAGATAAAATAATAACAAAAGTAGTTTGCATAAGTTCATACTTAGAAGGGCCACAGATAAATTGAGAGGCAAACTTGAAATAACTCGTCCACTTCACAATGAAGACATGTGGAACCATCATCAATTCCCTGGCAATTTCGACAATGTCTCACACGTTCAATATCTTCCACTTTTGGTTCCTCCATTGTCTGATCAATTTCTAGAAGTCGATCAAGTAAAGTTTTCCTAGAGCCTTCCAACAGATCCAGACCAGTTTGGAGATGATATTTTAGACCACTAACGGTTCGGAAGCTGGATTACAAGCAATGAAAAGTTAATTACTATCCGTAAAGATGTGGTTGTAAACAATATACAATTCCTAATTATGATTCACTGGAAGATCTAAATAAGGGATTTTGAGAAGACTATAACTACATCATAAAAATGAATTTGGATAGCATGTGACAATATACATAGCAAGCATCTCATTAATTGACTGATGTAATGAAATCCAAAGAAATAAAATGTCCTACTTATTCTCGGATTAAGTGTGCTATTTCTACTTAATAATTCAAGACGTTTACCAAGAGTGTCTGATGACATAACCTGCTAATTGCAAAGTTGACGGCTCAAGTTCAACTGCCAATCCCGTCAAATAAAAAACAATGACTCGAGATATTTACTGCATATTAGTAGAATTCTCTAACTGGTATCTCATGTTTTTAAGATGATTAATTTCCTAATATTGAGATAATTGAAGGATGCTCCAACACTCCCTCTCAAGCTCATGAATATGCATCTTTCGTTCTCAACTTGGAGATCAGTCCTTGGAATGTCGCACTATCAAGTCTTTAGCAAGTCTGTATGTTGACTATTGTGGAGATTCATAGAGTACAAAACAATTCACTATCCAACTTTTCCTTTATGAATTTCTATCTACTTCAATGTGCTTCATTCTATTATCTTACACGAGATTATGAGCAATGTCAATGGCAGACTTGGTATTGCAAAATAATTTCATTAGCCATCTCTATCCGATCCTCAAAACTTCCATATCTTGTGCCATGATGTACGCAGTCCCTATGCCATTACCCTGAGCTCTGCATCTAATATAGTGATCACATTCAATTTCTCACCCCTCTAGCTTACAAGGTTGCATCCAAGGAAAGTATAATAACTCCTAGTTGATTGCTTATCTACTGGTGCACTTGCATAATCTATACACGTGTATGCATCAAGGACAAACCCAATATTCTTTCTGAATAGAATTCCTTTGCCAAGATTAGCCTTTGAGTAATGTCGTGCCTGTAGATTACATAAACGTAAACCTCTCCCGAGCTATGTATAAATCAGCTAACCACACTCATGAAATATGCAATGTCTGACCTTCTATGACAAGACATACAAGTTTTCCTACCTGTCTCTGGTATAGCTCTCTGTCTACAGCAGGATCTTCATTTTCTTTATCCTAGTTACTTAATATAGAGACAGGTTTACATGTTAACTTTTCAGTCTCTCTTAGAAGATTGGTCACATACTTCTCTATGAAATAAAGATGTCTTCACTCACACGAGCTACTTCAATTCCTAAAAAGTACTTCAGCATGCCAAGTTTTTTTTATCTCCAATTCTTTGGCTAGGTATTTTCTCAATCTTCCATTCTTTTTCTTATTATTTCTTGTCACAGTTATGTTATCAACATATATCAGAAGAGTCGTGGCTCCCCCTAAACTCAAGTGTTTTATAAAGAACGTATGATCTCTCTGACTATAACTGTGTCCAGTTATAATAATTACCTCGACAAATCTTTTAAACCAATCCTTTAGTGATTGCTTTAGAACTCACAGTATTTCCTTCAATCTGCAAATTTTATTGTCTCTTAGTTTTCCATGTATATCTCTTTCTCCAAATTTTCATGAAGGAAAATGCTTTTTATGTCGAGAAACTTCAAGTACTAATAAAGGTAGAAGCTAAAGACAACAAAACCCTCACTATATACATTTTCGCTGCTAGAGCAAATGTCTGCCAACAATTCACAGTATAAGGTCATGAATATCTTTTTGCCATGCGTTTGGCCTTGTATATCTTTAGCAAGCAATCTGGCCTTGTAATTCACTCAAGGGATGACAATGGGCTGGTTCAGAGCAGGTTTAGTGAAATTTAAATCTGATCTAAATATTATTGAAGAAAACTAAACATGCCCCAGATTTTGGAGCGGGTTCATAATATTAGAACTAATTTTGGCCCGTGTAGATTTCGGGTTAAAGCAATCTTAAAATAAGTTATTCAACTCGAGTTCTCTCTCCACTTTCACTGTGCAAACAAAGTTTGCATATATCTACAGCTTGAAAGTAAAATAAACTAGAACATATTTATAGATATCAGAATTACATAAAATAAGGGGAAAAAAAACACAAACTATTGTCCTAGTTTATGAAAGTATGGAAACAGCAACAAATGAAAGCATCATCTTATTTTTAAGTCAAAAGACAAATAAGCTAATATAACGGAGATGGAGACGTGTTTGAACGTCGAAGTTCTACTTGAGCCCCAACTTGGAGAAGATGGGTGGAGAGATTATGGATGGCAGCAACTTGAAGAAGAAAAAGAAGGAAGAAACTAGAAGGCCGAAGCCCTGGGAGCTGATTACATTAAAATAATGATGTAAATGCAGGAAGAAGACAAGATGATGCTTGATGCGGCTTTCGGCAGTGTTGTGATGTAGAGAAGAGGAGAAAAAGGAAGAAGAAGAAGAAGGAAAAGATATGGAGTTGGCCGCGGTGTGAATGAAAGAGGAAGAAGTGGAGTGGAAAACTTGGTAAGAGGTTCTATAATATTTTAATTAATTTTTCTAAAAAATATTTTATGTTACATATAATTGGGTCGGGTTCAGATGAGGTTTTCACGCATAAACACGAGCATGGCCAGACGTGATTAAAACTAAAATGAACCTGACTCCAGCCCCAGTAGTTTTCTTTCAAAAAAAATTCAGGATTGTTTATAATGGATCAGTTCGTTTTCTTCCAAAACAATTTCTCCTGTTTGATTCTTATCTATTGCCTACATCCCTTCTCCCATAGCATCTTTTCACTTCTCTTCAGATAATGTTTGAGCTGAAGTATTAAGAATTTGAATAGTGTTTAGACTGACTCAAAACAAGAACATACATAAACTACAATTACAAACTACAACTTATATAGCTGTTGATTAAGTACTAGACAACCTAATTGTAACTAATATCTACAGAAACAAATTCCAGGAGCTATTAATATTTGTCTTGACATTAATGTCACACTCGCCTGTACTATTTTCAGGAAATACTTAAAAGATAATTTTAGCTAATATCAGGAGAGATGTATGCATCATCCTGGTCTAAAGCCGAAATAACTACTCTTGCTACACAGCACTCAAACACAGAAGCAACTGGTCCCAGCAATAATTTTTATGATAGAGACACAATGTTAAGTGGTTAAAGCCATCACTGACCGGGATGCGATTCTTGAAGAGGATGTCTTTAGAGTTCCTGAGACAGACTCTTCAATCTTTCTGATCAACTCATTTGAGAAGTCCCTATTCTGTTCAGCATGATGAAGTGCTTCCAACCACCAGACTGTAGGTTGTTTGTCTCTGTCGCTAAATGCACTAGAAACCTTCAACAAGTTTCCAAATGTTACTTGGAGTTAAGCTATATCGTATAAAACTATAAGTGAATGATACAGAGGAAAAAGTTATTTATGTAAACATTGCTCATTTTAATCGTTAATTAAGAGATGCAGATGATAAATGGAATTATGTTGTGACAATGTAATATGATATGCTTCTAAAGCATGATTATTAGTAGCAAACTGATGAGAGTTTTGAGGGAAACTAATAATTTCAATGCACCTGAGAAACAAAATCAGCAATATTTTTTTCCCATCTTTTTATGGAAAGAAATAAAGCTTTATAATTGATTTTAAGAGCCACAAAAAAAAAGGCTGTAGCATCATAGGTTTGAGGTTTGTTGTGGGAAGGCAACAGGGTCCTGCATTTCTTACACATAATATACTGGGCACCAAGGTGCCATAGAACAGAATCCAAATGTACCTGCACAAATGATTTTTTGAAATCTTGCTGAGCAGCACAAAGCTTCGAACTAAAAGCAGATAAGTACTTATTTTTCAATTGCTCACATGCTATTCTCAAAGATTCTTGCTCATAATCACATTTTCTCTCATCTTTTAAGGCATTCTCAAAATCGTTGCATGTATGACCAGGTAGATTCCCTGCACCAACAGCAAAACTAGAATTTCCTTTCTCACCAATTTTTTGCCTCTTTACAGCATTACGATATAATTTTTTGTCATTTTCTATCTCCATTTCAGAGCATCCAAAATATTGTTGCATTGCCAGGGGAGGTTGTTCTGGAGAGTCTGTAACCAACGGAAGTATCTCCGCAAGGTTATGAAGAATGTGAATATTCAACAAAGGATCCAGCCGAAAATCTTCAGAGTGCTCCTTGGTGATATGCAGTGCTTCCTTGTACAATGCTGCAGCTTGAGAGAAGTTCTTCTCAATCATAGCTATTGCTGCAAGCCCATTCAAAGCAACAACTAACCTCCTGAGAGCTTCCTCACCCTCAACCTTCGTCTTATTTACAAGAACCTATTAAACAGGACTTTTGTTTTAAAACATAAAAAACCAGCAGCTAAACAATGATAGGACATTCAAAAATTTCCAAATAACTCACCATTAGTATTTCCTCCATAGTCATGGGCGACTGTTGCAAAGACCGAAGTCCTGAACTTCCAACTTGAGGGTGACA